CCCCCCCCCCCCCCCCAAAGGCTGCACTACAGGAGAGGCGCCCAATAAGAAAAACACCGAAGCTCTCCCAGGACTCAGCGTTCCTGGTTGTACCAGCATGACCCATCGCTGAAGAATCTCCACCACGGCGGTCGCAAGTCCGATCCTCAGCAGTGCATGTCTTTTTAGGGGCCTTCAACAAAAAGGGTAGGTTTCGGTGTATATTGTAGATTGTACCGCGCTATATGTATCTAGCGACGTGGATAAGGGCATGGTATGAATTCTTGTTCCGACTTCTGTCTCACATACATGTATGAATGCACACCTATGCATAGCATATCGTAGCTGCGTCATATGTCTGTGCAGCATGTCCTTATCTTATAACGCCACTCCACTCTCCTCATACAAGTCAGTCGAGCTCCGCGGACATCAATCTCGGAAATTTGCTCCCACCTCATCCCATTCAAACCCGAATAAAAGCAATTGGTAAGCAGGCTTATGTCCCCATTCAGGCAGAAGTCAACCCCAAACCCTCACCAGCAAGAGTCGCCTTTGAAAGCCCTGTAAACTCTGTCCCCAGGCACTTTCTTACGAGCACACGATAAAGAATCGTGTTGCGCCGGTCCGTTCAGGAATGACCTCCCTGGTAAAGACAACGAGCTGTCCATCCCCATCGGACAGGCGGGCTGCCTGTGTGGGTTCTGGACGGCCTTTGCTTTGGGTTTGTGGTTTGGGGTATACTAAACCCTAAACCCCCAAACCCCAAACCCACTGGCCGCCAAACCTTCTGCACTTCGAATTTAAAAATTGAGCCCTTGGCCATCAGGGCGCGATGGCAAAAGTCCGGGCAGACCTCAAGGCACGGCAAGGTCGCCACCTGGCTGCCTTTTTTGCCACAGCCAGTTGGTGGGTTCTCAAACTCAGGGGTCTGGATGATACGGATCCTTTTGGCCCTACACCCTAAACCCTAAACCCTACACCCTGAACCCTAAACCCTATATTGCGTGCGGGGTAGCTATATACATTCCGTAACGAAGCCTGGGCTGGGCGCTGGCGCTTGGAGGGCTTCTGAGTTGAAGTTTAATAAAAGAGGTTTGGAAAAGGAGAAGACATGTCTAGTGGTCCTTGTTTCAGAGGTACGTATTAATAGACCTCAAGACTCAATATTGCATTCCAACTAAGAGCGATGTTTTAGGGGATTCGCGCATTTCTTGCTATGCCAGCTGTTTCCGAAACCGCACATCTTCAACCACACTCCAAAGCCCCACGGCTCTGAAGCCCTTCAAACCCATCCTTGGCTTACACCTAGAGGATCAGGGGGCTAGGGTTTAGGGTTTAGGGTTTAGGGTGTAGGGTTTAGGGTTTAGGGTTTAGGGTTTAGGGTTTAGGGTTTAGGGTATGAGTAGTGTAGCTATAGCAGCTACAGCTATCTCCACTTATAGTCCCAACGAAGATACTTCTAATACTAAGTCCCATGATCCTTCAAGTACCATGGGCCACGAACTTCTGTACATTGGCGACTCTATGCAAACCCTATGGAGCTTCCAGAAGCTGCTTTTGGTCTTCCGCCGAGGCTTATATAGAGTAGCCACCCTCGTCACGAAGGGCAACCATCACAGGCCTGCTTCGGGCGAAGCGTTTCAGGGTAGGGTCTAGGGCTCAGGGTCCTTAAAGCCTAAACCCTAAACCCTAAACCCTAAACCCTAAACCCTAAGCCCTAAACCCTAACGGTCGAAGCTTTAGGGCCACAGAAGTACACTCTGAAATGGAGCCGCTACGGCCCTGCGGTCTGGGGAAACTAAGAGGACCCAGGGTTCAGGGTTTAGGGTTGGGGGTTCAGAGCTTTGGGTTTAGGGTTTAGGGTTTGGGGTACAGGGTTTAGGGTTTAGGGTCAGGGTTTGGGGTTTAAGGTTTAGGGTTTGGGGTTTAGGGTTTAGGGTTCAGGGTTTAAGGTTTAGGGTTCAGGGTTTAAGGTTTAGGGTTCAGGGTTTGGAGTTTAGGGTTTAGGGTTTAGAGCTCAGGGTACCGAAACTGGAACGGAACGCTGAAGAAATCCGAGCCAATTGAGTTGTGTTTGCAGGCCTGGCGTTTCGATCTTCCAAGACGACATTCTTGGGGTCACCTGCTGAGGGGCTAGCCCTGACTTGCCAAGAATGTGATGGCTCGATGGTGGCTGGAGCATATTGAAAGACTGCTAGGGTTCAGAAGTTTAGGTCCTTATCCAGGTCCAGGTGCGGCCCAGGCTGGTCATGCTACTTTTGCAATCACTGATCACAAAATCTGGTTTGCAGAGTTTTTGCGCTAGAGGATCGAATTGGAGACTCCGCATGCATGTCCTGAGAATCAGGATATGCCTTAGCATGCCCAGACATGAGGGAAGGCCCCGCGAATTGCAAAGTCTTCTGAAGATCGTGGCACCACATATAGAAGCCTCCATAATTACCTATATTACGCTTTAGGCTATAGCACTATACTACACCTCAAAACTTTATTCGAATCATTATTCCCTTTGTTATCTAAACCCTAAACCCTAAGTAATAGTGTCTCTTCAACTCTTTCTTATTCTTTCCTGTTGGCTGTCTCGGGTCTCTTGCTCGGTGGGAGTGTCGATCATACAGTGCTCCTCTGCCAGAGCACCGTGCTCTGCTCAGTAGTTTTCCTTACAGAGAAGGAGGGGTCTCCTAAAGCCGGGATAGTCTAGGGGACCAGGCCCTAAACCCTATAACCCTATAACCCTATAACCCAAAACCCTATAACCGTAAACCCTCAACCCTATACATGACCCTAAACCCTATAACCCAAAGCCCTATATAACCCGAAACCCTATAACCCTAAACCCTAAACCCTAGGGAGGACACCTAGCGCAGAGGGGAGGGGGCGGCGGCTGCGCTTGTTTCGGGGCCTCATCTGCGCATCGGATCCCGGCAGCAACGAAAATCGATGTCTGCTGAAACCCAGAGAAGCTCCAGACTCCGTTTTGTAGAGTTTCAAAATGATGTTAGGTGTTTATCTATCTACCTACCAAGCTCTGTATATATATATATATAATATATATATATATATATATATATGGCTATGATGGCGATTTCATGGATTTACGTTCTTGTTTGCCTCAGGCTTGAGGCTTTCAGGGTTTGGAGTTTTAAGCTGGCGCGTTTGGGGTCAATCAGTACCCTGCTGAGGGTTGCCCCACTTAAACTCTACTTGTTCCCGGCTTGTAGCTGACTTTACTGTGCAGGGTCCGGGGCTTTGTGTGCTGAGAGGTTTAGGATTCACCAGGGGTAGAGTCCGAGCCCTCTTTCCGGGAGTTTGGGAGTTTGGAGCTCATATTGACAATGCTAGTTCCAGTTGAAGTCCAATGTACGGCGTCTCCGGCGATGCGGTTTGAGTGTCTATCCTCTATCCTGGGTCTACCCCTAAACATCTCCGAGTTCTTTAGAAAATGCCTCTGCCCTTAGGGTTGACGGGCTTCGGTCCCCATGCCGTAATCAAACCCTGTGGTTTACGGTTTGGGGTTTAGGGTTTAGGGAACTACCTTAAGAACCCCAAACCCACTTTTTGTAGGCTCTTACTATAAACCCTAATATGGGATTTATAGGGACCCTACAAACAAGTAGGTTTGGGGTTCTTAAGGTACAGACATGATTCCTTTCCATCCCCGGAGACGCGTGTCACCCCGCAGTTCTCGCGGATTTGCCCGTGCAGGGTGTGGAGGAATGTGCTTGCACTGACAAAATGAAGAGTTCGGGTGTAGGGTCTGTTTTGGGTTGAGAGTTGAGGGTTTAGGGTTCAAGGGTTGAGGGTGCAGGGTCCATGTTAGGGTTCAGGGCTTCGTGTTGAGGGTGCAGGGTCGATTTTAGGGTTTGGGGTTGGTTCCCTGGCCCAAAAAAATCAAGAACATAGGGTCCTGAACATTCAGTAGTATCATCCCTTTGTAGTCCCTAAATAATTTTTGTAGTATATTACAGTAGAGTATGCTGAGGCCCCGATATCGAACAACCAGGATCTCTGTGTGTGGGGTCGTCATCCCCCCAAGATAGGACAGATAGGATCCTACTGTTGGGTTTAGGGTTAGGGTTTTTGTTCAGGTCTCTTTGTGCGGCTTTGAAAGGGCTATGCTCAAGCCCTGAGTCTGAACGCTCGTTTTCGACTGTAAACTGTAAACCCTTGGCTGAACTTTTGTGGGGAAAGGCTTCGCAGTTATGCTGGGGTTTTGTGTGGGCCTGTGGTGTCAACCTGTCAAAAGGGCGTGGCCGCAGTGAATAGTGAGGAAATCCACTGAAAGTCCGCATAAATTATACCGTCATGGGCTCCAAAAGCCCTTTCCAAGTCTTAAAACTCCTCCGGCATGCAATCGGGTCTAGAGTCTAACATTCCGTTTTGTGTGTAGAGTTTGAGGTCAGGGTTGACGATTTAGCAATTGAGCCTTAGGTTTTTCGATACTAGGATATAGGCTTGAACCTGATGAACCCTAAACTAAACTGCTCCTTCTCTGGATCAAGAAGCGCAGCGCAAAACTGCAAACATGCAAAGCATCTGTGCTTCCATAGACAACTCAGCTCAGTCGCTCCCGACGACGTTGTACTTAGGCTAACTGTTAGGGTTCTTTCGTTTCGGGATATCAAGGTCTTCTAGTCCTTGAGGTGTGACTCTGCGGTTCACCGTGCTCTGAAGTACTTGCGAAGCAGATTAGTAAGATAAACAGCTCCACAGCCAGATCTCAACTCCTCCCGTCACTTCCTTCACCGCCTCCTCACTCTTGAGTGAGCCGGCGTCCATGCAGAGCTTTCACTCGGATCCCTCCATGGCTAGCACTCTGCAGGCCAGCCCACGAGCCTACACGGTTTTTGGGGCGTGGGGTTTAGGGCTTTAGGGTTTTAGGGTTTTAGGGTTTAGGGCCAGAGGTTTGGCTTGAACAGTGCGGTAAGTGTATTTCTTATCGTTATAACAGGCTTGCACCTATGAGAGCTTTTGAGGCTTTGGGGCTTTTGGGTCTAGGAGAAGTATTCAAGGTTTTGGGTCTAGGGTCCAATGGCCCTAAGCCCCTAAACGCTAAACCCCGAAACCCCTGAACCCCAAATCCCCCTAATTGGGTTTTTGGGTTTAGGGTTTTCGGCTTGGGGTTTAGAGTGTTGGGCTTGGGGTTTAGAGTTTTGGGCTTTGTGTTTAGAGTTTTGGGTCTGGGGTTTAGAGTTTGTCAGTTAAGGGTTGTGGATTCAGAGCTTTTGGTTTTGGATGTAGGGTACAGCGCATAAGTCCCACGAGCATGCTTCCTGCATTGCGCTGGAGCCTGCGACTGTTGGCCGTAGAGCGAACTCATAGAGCCTAGAAGCTGCCTAGCTGAGCTGCTGGCAGAACCAGTGGAGCGGATTTCCCCGTATGGCCTGAGTATCCGAATCCCCAAGCTCCAAAACCCAAAACCCTAAACCCTGATGCCTAAACCCGAAACCCTGATGCCTAAACCCTAAGCCAAGCTCCAAAATCCTTGATCCTCAACCCTGAGCTCTAAACTGCAAAACGCTTTTCAACCCTGCAAAACCCCCATGCAGCCCAAAAAGCCATCCACAAGCCCTTCACGCATACAACTAAGGCGGCCTCAAGCCCTCCCATAAAGCTGTAGAATCAGGCAATATAGGGGCCTAAATAGCTACCTATA